CTCTCTCTCTCTCTCTCTCTCTCTCTCTCTCTCTCTCTCTCTCTCTCTCTCTCTCTCTCTCTCTCTCTCTCTCTCTCTCTCGTTTCGGAAAACGAGAACGAGAGTGAATCCTTCTGTGTGAACATGCAAAGATACACCGTTGAGGTAACCGTTTTTTTTTTTTTTCCCATGTTTTTCTGTCGTTGCTTTTGGCATTTTGTGTTTTTTTTTTTCTGTTTTTTTTTTCCGTGTTCTTCTCCAAAGATGTTCGGGAGGTTAGTGCCCGGTAGTTCAAGCCTCGGCAAGGCTTGGCATACCAGTCGGCCGAAGGCTTGGACTTGATAGCTGGGCCCAGTACTGGTGGTTTAAGATATCATCGTGAAACTGACTGGGCCCTCGTAACTCAGGAATTCTGTTCCTCTAGTTCCATCCAGATTCGAACTCAGGTCTGCATTTCAACAGTTTGTGGGTGTACCAACTGAGCTACGCCCATCCGCATGCATAAATTTTCCCGTCGCCTACTCTGAAGACTTTGCACCTCGGGCTTACCAGATGACAATGGCTGGTGGCTCCAGCCAAACTCTACTGGTGGATGGTGGCCTTCGTCATAGGTATATGCCACAACAACTACAGAGATGGTGGCTCTGAGCTCTGAGCCTTGCTAGAGTAAGGATGATAGAAGAGTCAACCATGGACAAAGCCGAAGTGGATTTATAAAGACAGGCTTACACTAAAAAGACGATTGTGGACCAGCAGTAAGGGTAAGGCCCCACTGGTGCTATGTTTGGGCTATGCTAGGACGGACCTGCTGACTTTTACAACCAGTTTCATGCTTTCTAAGCATGAGCACCAGTGTGCTTGCACCCTAGGTCCCCCTGAAGTAGGCATGGGTGTTTCTTGAGGCTGGCAGTCAATCTTCCCCCTGGTGGGAGTAGAATCAATGATGGGCGGGGTCCTTGCTTTGATTTGCATGTGTGGCTGGTATTGCTTTCATTGTGCTTTTATATATACCAAAAGTACCTTGGAGCCACATTTTCCCGACACTTGATTTTGCAGGCGACTAGATTACCAAGCAGTGAACGAAACGATTAACAACACACTCCGACAGGAGGACTACACATCTGCTACAGGCCTTTCGGTCTTTGGGACCACAAAGGTGTTGAACCAGGAGAGGGCCACCACTACCTTGGTACAGCAGGACGGAAATGTCTCTGCCTCTTCATATTTGCTCACGGAGTCTGAATGCAATCTCCAACAGGAGAATAATAATATCAAAGCACTTGTCCCCTACCTGTACCGACAGAGCACAGAGCTCCCGCCAGTACACAGGAAACAACAAATAGATAGTCATTTTATACAGAATCAGGGCACAATCGCCCTGATTACTCATGAACAAAGTGAGCTGGCTCCAGAAAGTACGAACGAGAATGGTTTAAGTGCGTCAAAATTTTCACAACAGCAGGCTACAGACAGCCCAGTTACAAAAGACTGGCTGGAACAGGAGCAGGTACCAGCTACCCCACAGCACCAGGAACGAAGAGGGAAGAGAACAGAGGAACTGCTGGCACCAGAACAGACATCATTCACCCCACTGCACCAGGGCCAGCGGGGGCAGGGAGACGACAGCCAGCCCTCCCCACTGGTGATACCAACCACCCCACTGTACCAGGGTCAGAGTAGACAGGGAACAGACAGCCAGCCCTCACAGGACAAAGATTCAGTCGCTCTGAGAATCATGGAACAGAGCCCGTCTACTCCTGTTTGGTGTCTCGCTCAACAGACTGCAGATGCCACACTGGAGAATGTTCCAGTCTCAGCCGTTTCCCTGGATCATAGTCAGAGTGAGCAGAAAGCAGATGAACAAAGGTCACAAGAACAGAACCCTACTGGCTTCATGGCCAATACACAAAACATGCTTACATCAGGGAACAGATTAAGAATTGGAAATGAACAGCGAGTGCGGGTGGTTGAAATCATCTCACCAATCACAGGGGAGAAAAAATTTCTCCATATTCAAAATGGTTGAAACAACAAGAAAACCAAGATCATCTCTGATTGAGTGAGAGACAGACGATTCAGACAAAGAGGAGGAAGAACTAAATACAGTATCACAACAGAGCCTATTACAGATAGACAGTCAAGTAGAGGCGATAGATTTAACTGAGGATATTCCTCAAACAGCAACGAGAGACTATCCTTTGATGCCTCCTGTCAGTCCCTCCCTTCATCCTCACCCTGACCTAAGAATCCAAATGAGCAAGAGACAGAAGTTACGATCAAGACTGCATGAGAACACAACCGTCTCCCAACTCTCCAAACCGGGGACTTTCATACTTCCAGTTAGATTTAAGGAGGGGCGTTGGGAAGCGGGACTCTCGGATGCCAAAGACTCTCAGTATGGGGAAATCACCATCCAGGGTATGGACCCTTCTCTTATCTCCCCCCAGGATCTTACAGGAAATGGAAGCGGATTAAAGATTATCATTGCCCAGCTCTCCAATTTTATTGCAGACCACTTCCCTCCAGGGGGGAGGCAACACTAGTCCTCTTCTCAGAACCCGAAAGAATCGCAAAAAGAGATGTCTACCTGAGATATAAGACTCAGGGTGCAGCCAGCATAAGATGGATGGGGGAAGACTCACTCAAACAACTGCAAATCCTCAAGATTAAGGCTAGTAATTTCTGGTCCGAAGAGGATGTACTCTCTCTCCTAATCAGA